AAACATAACTAAATTACAATCTCAAAAATAAACATTTAACAACAGAAATAGCCAAATCTATTACCTCCCTCTGCAAATGACACCACATTATTGTGATGAATATTCAAAAGCTATTTTGATTGTATTTAAGTATAGCAACCCTACTAGGACCAATCTTTATTCTCTGTCTTCCTCACATATAAATCTTATGATCTCAACAATCCCCTTCTCTCATCAATTCCAACTTAAAATGAATTGAAAGCTCTACTTGGACTTCCTTTACTATCTGTCTTGAGTCTGCATCTACAGATTGATGTCTGAATCTGTATGCTGGTCCAGGTCATCCACTGTACTGTTCTGCACATTACTTGGACTCAACAGCATCGTCCGAGGAGTGAGTGAAGATGCCAGTCTTTGTTCCAGAGGCCAACACCTGACTGACCACCCATGAGAGAAGATGAGGCTCCTCCCTGAAACATCATCCCTGTCCAACTCACTTAGATGGAGGTGACAGCCACTATCACTTGAGCCTCCTCCTTCATCTCCTTTTTCTGTCAAATCATTTTTCTGTGTGTTTTTAAAAAATAAACAACAGGCTGGGCTGTAAGAATGTACTGCTAGAGTCTACCTGCTGCCCAGGCTACAGTCCTTTGCAGCAGCTCTCCTCTGCCACAGGTTTCCTCCACTGTCTTTGAGTCCCTAGTTAAGAGACTTGGGGTCCCCAGATCTTCACCTAGGAAGTGAGTTTATATCAAAGGGGACATTGCTGACCACAATTCATGCTCCCCACCCTCCTCCCTGACTGCTGCCTTGGAATCAGAGAGCCTGGTGGCAGGCTTACACTGAGAAAACTCTCCCATCCTCAATAAAACCTAAGAGACCACATCTTCCATTAGAGGGATTCCTCTTTTCAGAGATCCCCCATGCATGTGCCCATGGTGCTAAGGCTGAACTCTCATTCAAGACCCCACCATGCTCTTGCCTCTCTATCTGTCTAGGGTGTTACTGACTCTAATAAACTCCTTTCTCCACAGTAATCTGTTCTAGTGTCCCTCTAATACCCTGAAACCTCTCCGTCAGATAGTCACCCATCTCTCTCAATGAAAAAAAATTAACGAAGCATCGCTTGTGTGCTCTAAAACCTGCCCCAGGCATGTCTGTAGCTCCGTAATATGCTTTCTCAAACTAGGAAAAATTATCCCCAACTGAAGAATACCCTACCCATACCCCCCAAAAAACAAAAACAAAAACAAAACATCCTGGAAAAATGCTAACAATTGACGAGGCCTTCCTTTTTTGTGCTGATTACATAACTTTCAAATTGGTTTAAATATTTGTTTCCATTATTCTCCCATTAGCACTACCATGACTATATAGAATTTGTCAACATCATTGTTTGAGTTTTAAGATGGTGCTTATTTGCAAGGCTAGTATTACTTTATTGTATTGGTTCTTTTGTTTTCTTTTGTTTTTGTTTTTTCGAGACAGGATTTCTCTGTAGACCAGGCTGGCCTGGAACTCACAGAGATTCCCCTGCCTCTGCCTCCCAAGTGCTGGGATTAAAGGCGTGTGCCACCAACACCTTGCTTATTGTATTGATTCTTAATTTTTACCAAAATATGTTTTTAAAATTATTGAATAAAACACAGATCTCACCTTTAACAAATTCAGTGTTTTCTCATACATTTGCCCTGAGTGTACAGAAGAAAGCTGCACCTTTTAAAAATGATCTCTCTTCGAAATGTCTAAGCATTTTCACTCAGACAGTGAGTGAGCTTCTAAACTCACTCACTGAGGGTGATTAGTCCTGCATACATCACAGGGGTTTCTAAGCAGAATGATCCTTACTTTCGTTCTTTCCTCAATATTTGCTCCATACTGTAGAAGCCTGGCAGCCATTGCTGGCTCCCCGCCATACACTGCATAGTGGAGAGCAGTGTTACCACTGTTGTCTTTAATATGCACGTTAGCATGACGCTCTAGCAGATAGCACACGATTTCCTCTTCCCAGCTCTGGACAGCCTGGAGGGATTGCAACAAGAAGTACATGGTCAACTCAAAGAATTTATGCTACACACTCATGGGTTTCATCAATTAATTATATTTACATGAGATAAATTCATTTTTACTTAAAAGTTTCTTGTGCTTAAAATGATGGTTACAGTCTACCTTCATCAGAGGTGTGATATTATGGTTGTCACACACATTAATCTCACACCCACGCCTCCAGAGGTAATTCACCATTTCTAGATGTCCATAGAAACAGGCAAAGTGCAAGGCATTCCTATAGAGAAATTACAGTGCATTGTGTCAATATACACAAATATTCATGTAATCAAAACTGTTAAATAGCATACTGTGCATGTGCCTTCTAAACAAATATGTAACATTCTTCTAAAGAAACTTCTTTTCCCTTGTAAAATTTCTTCACACACACACACCAATCTACTTCATTTGCAGTAAGCCTCATTTAAATTCTCAGAATACAGAACACAAATCCCTTGTCAGAATATAACACAAATGACTTCTATCCCAATTCATGACAGACCCTTTGTTTCCAAGTCTCCTTGGTCAGCCTTTTCCTGTCTCTTTTGCTTAGCATGCTGTCTTCTGGACTTGCAGTAGGATGGGCCACTAATCTCTGCTCACAACATTCTTCTGTAACACTCAGCTACAAACTTGTCCACATCCTACCACAAAGCAGGTCGTATGCCCTATAAACCATATCCTCATGGAGGCTTTCAAGAAACAGAGAAGGAACTGGAACCAATGACTGGCTATACCCTTAAAGTCTGACCACGAAAAATTTCTCTCTGTCTATAAGGTTCCATAACCTCCAAAATGGAGCTACCATTTAAGACAAAATGCTCTATTACCCTTTCTAGGCTTCATTTCTGTTATGATAAAATAGAATATTGTGATGCTTCATTGAAAATGTATATAAAGCTTTCTGGATGAAAGAAGGAGATAATTTCTACTTGACAGAAATAATCTTGGCGGAGAGAGAACATCAGCAACGCAGTGACCCACTGGCAGAGAGAGCTTCAGCAGCAAGGGGCCTGCCAGGATAGAGCATCAGTGGTCAAACAGCCTGGATGCACTGACAGCAGCAGCTTCCAGAAACTATCAGAAAAAGTGCCTCTGGGCACCAGGGGCAGGGCTTCCAGCACTTGGAAGGCAGAGGCAGGCAGATCTCTGTGAGTTCAAGGCCAGCCTGGTCTACAAAGCTACACAGAGAAGACCTGTCTCAAAAAACAACACCAAAAAGGGCATCTGGGAAAGAGCACATGTGTACCAGTCAGCATCCAGTGCCATTCTCTGAATGAGATACTCAGCTGATCATCTACCATTGGAGCCTCAGACCCACCTGCACATTAAGGAGCAGTCACCAGTGCTGTGACTCTGCCTGCGGCTGGAGGAGCAATCAACAGAGCCATAGCCCTCAACTGCACCAGTTGGAAGAAGAGAGACCCCCTGAAGCACAGTCTCCACCTATATGTGGTTGGAGGAAGCGATGGGTACACAACAGTGTAAGAACACTCAACAACATCAAGAGCAACACAGCACCACCAGAAACTAGTAGTCCTAAAACAGTAAGACCTGAACATCCCAATGCCGGTAACGCAAGAAAACAACCGTAAAAATAACTTTATGAAGATGACTGACACACTTAAAGAGGAAATGAAAAATTCCCTTAAGAGAAATCGAGGGCTCTTTTTTTCATGGCACCTCCTAGGCGGTCATCTGTATGAAGATGAAGATGAATATCTCCTTCCCCGCCAATGGCTGCCAGAAAATCATTGAAGTGGACAGTGAACACAAGCTTCGTATGTTCTATGAGAAGCGCACAGCCACAAAAGTAGCTGCTGATGCTCTGGGTGAAGAGTGGAAGGGTTATGTGGTCCAAATCAGTGGCAGAAATGACAAATATGGTTTTCCCATGGCTCAAGGTATTTTGAACCATGGTAGAGTGTGCCTGCTGTTGAGTAAGGGGCATTCTTGTTATAGAACAAGGAGAACTAGAGAGAGGAAGCACAACTGTTCAAGGATGCATCGTGGATGCTAATCTGAGTGTTCTCAACTTGGTTATTGTAAAAAAAAATGAGAGAAGGATATTCCTGGCCTGACAGATACTACTGTTCCTCATCGGTTGGGACCTAAAAGAGCTAGCAGAATCCAAAAGCTTTTTATTCCCCCTAAAGAAGATAATGTCTGCCAATATGTTGTGAGAAAGCCTTTAAACAAAGAAGGAAAGAAGCCCAGGACCAAAGCACCCAAGATTCAGTGTCTTGTTACTCCATGTGTGAAGAAACAAGAACAAAGGAAAACAAGGAGGAGGCTGCAGAGTATGCTAAACTTTTGGCCAAAATAATGAAGGAAGCCATAGAAAACACCAGGAACAGATCGCAAAGAGACAGATGCTGTCCTCACTGAGAGCTTCTGCTTCTAAGTCTGAGGCCAGTCAAAAATAAATCTTTAAGAATAACAAATAAATAATCACACATTGAAAAAAAAGAACCCGAGGAAAAGACAAACAAAAAATTAGAAGAAATCAAAAAGTTCCTTATAGAAAAAGCAATCAAACAGGTGAAGGAAACAGTTCAAGACTTAAAAAATGAAATAGAGGCAATAAAGAAAACACAAATGAAGGGAACTCTGGAAATGGAAAATCTGAGTAAACAATCAGGAACTATAGATGCAAGTATAAACAGCAGAATATAAGAGATGGAAGAAAGAATCTTAAGCATTGAAGATATGATACAGGAAATAGATGCATCAGTAAAAGAAAATGTTAATTCCAACAAAATATCCAAGAAATCTGGGACACCATGAAAAGACTGAACCTAAGAATAATAGTGATAGAAGAAGCAGAAGAATACCAATTCAAAGGCACAAAAATATATTCAACAAAATCATAGAAGAAAAGATTCCAAACCTAAAGGAGGACATGCCCATGAATGTACGAAATAGACTTGACCAAAACGAAAGAGAGAGAGAGACTCCTCGTCACGTAATAATCAAAACACTAAACATACAGAATAATGTAAGAAAGTAAGCATATTAAGAGATGCAAAGAAAAAAGGCCAGGTAACAAATAAAGGCAGACCTAGCAGAATTACACCCAACTTCTCAATGGAAACAATGAAAGCCAGAAATTCTGAGCAGGAGGTATGCAGACACTAAGAGACCATGGATTCAAGCCCAGACTACAATACCCAGAAAAGATTTCAATCACCATAGATAGAGAAAACAAGATATTCCATGACAAAACCAGATTTAAACAAAATAATTTCACAAATCCAGCAATAAAGAAAGTGCTAGAAGGAAAACTCCAACCCAACGAATTTAGTTACACTCACAAAAACACAGGCAATAAATAATACAACACTAGCAAATCCCAAAGAAGGGAAATGCACACACAATACCACCACCACCAACAACAACAAAAACAAGAATCAACAATCAATGCTCATGCTGGGTGGTGGTGGTGCATGCTTTTAATCCCAGCATTCAGGAGGCAGAGGAAGGCAGATTTCTGTGAGTTTGAGACCAGCCTGGTTCCAGGACAGCCTCCAAAGCCACAGGGAAACCCTGTCTCAAAAAAACAAAACAAAACCCAAAAAACAAAAAACAATCAATGGTCATTAATATCCCTTAATGTCAATGGACTTAATTAATCTATAAAAATGACCCAAGCTAATATAATGGATCCAAAGACAGAATCCATCCTTCTGCTGCATACAAGAAACACACCTCAACTTCAAAGACAGATGTTACGTCAGAGTAAAGGATTTGGAAAAGATTTTCCAATCAAACAAACCTAAGAAATGAACTGGTAGAGGTATCATTTTTTTAAAAATCTTTTTTTATTTGTTATGTGTACAGTGTTCTGTATGCATGTATCCCTACAGGCCAGAAGAGGGCACAAAATCTCATTACAGATGGTTGTAAGCCATCATGTGGTTGCTGGGAATTGAACTCAGAACCTCTGGAAGACCAACTAGTGTTCTTAGCCACAGAGCCATCTCTCCAGCCCAATAGTTATCCTAATATCTAAGAAAATAGATTTCAAACTAAAAATAGTCAAAAGATAAAGAAGAGTATTTCATATTCATCACAGGAAATATCCATCAAGATGAAGTCTCAATTATGAACATTTATTCATCAAACACAAGGGCACCCAAATTTGTAAAAGAAACATTACTAAAGCTTAAATCACACATCAAGGTCCAAACACGAATAGTGAGAGACTTCAACACACCACTCTCACCACTGGACAGGTCTACCAGACAGAAACTTAATAGAGAAATAAAGGAACTAACAGAAGTTGTGACTCAAATGGGCATAACAGACATCTATAAAACATTTCACCCAAACACAAAAGAATATACCTTCTTCTCAGCACCTCATCAAACCTTCTCTAAAATTAACCACAAATTTCAACAAAGCAAACCTCAACATGTACAACAACAACAACAACAAAAAGGAATAAACCCCTGCATCTTATCGGATCACATGACTTAAAGTTAGAATGAACAACACTAACTACACATAGCCCACAAACTCATGAAAATTGAACAATGCTCAGATGAATCACCCCTAGGTCAAGGAAGAAATTAAAGACTTCCTAAAAGTCAGTGAAAATAACCACACAGCATACTCAATCTTATTGGACACAATGAAAGCAGTGCTAAGAGGAAATTTCATAGTACTAAATGCCTATACAAAAAAGCTAGAGAAATCCCACACAATCAAATTAACAGAATAACTGAAAGCTCTAGAACAAAAAGAAGTAAGCTCACCCAGGAGGAGTAGAAGATGGAAAATAATCAAATTGAGAGCTGAATTAAACAAAATGGAAACAAAGAAAACAATAAAAAGAATCAATGTAAGGAAGAGTTGGTTCTTCCAAAAAATCAACAAGATAGACAAACCTTTATCCAAGTGAACCAAAAGGCAGAGAGAGAATATACAAACTAACAAAATCAGAAATGAAAAGGGGGACATAACAACAGACACTGAGGAAATCCAGAGAATCATCAGTTCATACTTCAAAGACCTGTATTCTGCAAAATTGGAAAATTCAAAGGAAATGGACAACTGTCTGGCTAAGCACCGCATAACAAAATTAAATCAAGACCAGATAAACAAATTAAATAGACCTATAAACCCTAAGTAAACAGAAACAGTCATCAAAAGTCTCCCAACCAAAAAAAGCCCAGGGCCAGATGGTTTCAGTGCAGAATTCTACCAGAATTTCAAAGAACAGCTAATAACAATACT